AGCTCAGGAACTGGTGTAACATAATCAGCAGGAGAGTAAGACTGAGAGGGAAGGACAGGCCAGCCTCCTTTTGGCCTCCCAGAACTATTGGCTTTTAATTAACCTCATTGTGTGTAGTTTCACCCTGGTGCGTTGTCTTATCGCTCCCAGGCAGAAGCAGGAGAGCCGACTAGAAGATTTTTGGTCTGATCCTGTGCAACTATTCTTTTCCTTAATAGCAAATCTGCTCTTCCTCTGTGGCTTTTGCTGTATGCATCCTTGTTGTTGCTTTGTTTTAATTTTTGTTCTTTCCTTTCTCTACGTTTCTTCTAAGTGACCAGTCCTTTGCTGTGTGGAACTTCTTCAGACTCCAGCTTAGACCCGTTTGCTCATCTGCAGTTACTCTTGGAGGAGGTTTAAAAATACACAGCAAAGCCTGTCTTAGGAGACCAGTCAAGGAGCTGACGAAAGTGGGTTGCCTAGCAGAGGTGGCCTAATAAAATTGGAGTGGAATTATACTGTGCATCTTTGGGACGGCTTCTGGGTGGTCTGTTTGGACGAGTTCGCGTCCTGCTGGTGTGGAGTCTCGTGTGGGTTTCACTGTGTTGTCAAGTGAACTGAGATGTGTTTGTTTCCCAGCCTTGTAGGGTGCCATAGCTCCAGCAAGTGCTCCCCTAAGTAATCAGCGCCTTCGGCCTCACACATTGTGATCTCACAAGCCATCGTGTCTGTGATGTCACAATGGAAGAGATTCTGGTGCTCTGACATATGTGGTCGTGCCTTTGACATGTCAGCCAAGGAACCCAGCGGGAAGAATGAGCTCAAGAAATGGGAGAGACCTTCCTTAACCCGAGAGTGCCCTCCGCCCTTTATAGTCAGCCTTTCCTCTATTCACTGATCTCTTCCATGATGGCACTTAGGGGGAAACCAGTGCTTGTGTAGACTGAATTATTTTTTTTGGTTGAACTACTGAGATGCATGTTTCTCCCAGATGAGTGGTTGCCCAACTATCCTCCTGTAACCTTCATTCTTCTCTGCTGTTCACCTCACTTGTTGTATTGCTTCTAATTTTAGACTGTAAGTTCTTGAGAACAGGGACCTCTTCGTCTGTAGTGGGAAGAGCCTGGGTGCGATTGTGGAGTGCTGTAAAAACAAAACGATGGATGCCAAGCTGTATCTGAGCTGAGTAATGATGGGGCAGCATATAGGCATGACGTGGCAATGCCTTGGGAAAGTTACATTACAAATTTTCCAAAACACAGGCTTGGTTGTCTAGCAGTGCCGGAGACAAACCCAGCCAAACGTGAAGGGAGTGCAGCCATGGAATTGTACTGTTTTCATGTTCAAGAGATGGTACTGTGAGGTTAACAAATTAAAGATGCAGATTTACCTGTCTAAAATTGTGTTACTTTATTAAATGGTTCTAAAAGCTTTGTCTTTTGTTGTTTGTTTTACTTTATGTGTTTATTTTTTTTTTTTTGCAAGGTTGGATGGTGAGAGTGGATAAGCTGGTCTTGTTTCTCGTTTCCTGCCTCACAGGCTAGCCAGGTGCTGTCACTTTTGGACTGTAGTTCATCTAATGAAATATTTGGGTTTAGGTTAAGGTTGATTTAAAAAAAAAATCTGAATTATCTCTATTGTTCTTCAGTTATATCTTCACGCAAGTGAAATATGGGCTCACATTTGACCTCTGAGTATGCATTTGAACAGCTACCAAAATTGAAGTCCTGCATTTTTTTGTTATACTGTGTTCCAGATGTTGCTAAATGTATGCAATTTTGTTCTATCAAAAGCATCTCTATTACCCTATCTTTTTACAATTTAATAAAATAGACAAACCTGACTTACATTTTTGATTGGTTTTGTTGCTCTAGCGTTGAGCTAAGTTGTCTGTTGGAGGCCAGGAGTCACAACTGCCCCTACCGAGGCTTTGCACAAATAATAAACTGAAGTGTTTTACTCCCAGAGCTTGTTTGCTTTTATTTTTTAATTTCAGTTTGTCTTGTTGTTTAGATTAGTGGGGGGGTTTGTTTTGCTTTGGTTTGTTTGTTTGTTTACTTGTAAAATGGTGGAGGCCTGTATTGCCATAACAACGTAATTTAACATGTAAGTGAAGACACTGATAAAACATGTAATTTCTTGGGTCACCCCTCCATCCTGCAGTTATGTGTTGTCTTCCTGCCCCCTCCCTACTCATCTTATCAAACTGGACAGTGAAGGGGAATATTTTGAGGTTAAAGGCAAGCTGTGATTTTAATTAGATGTGGTTCTAAAAAGTTCATATTTATGTTATGTGCAAAGAGCCATTAAACTCAAGTTTGTAGGCTAATTTGTCTTGCTGTTGATGAATTTGAATCCTCTGGAACTTGTGTGGTGGCCATCTCTCTCTGTGGCTTTGAGGCTGTCCTACAGGCAGGGGAAAGCACTTGCAATGCCCTGCTGGCTCTTGTCACCAGCATTCTTCACGGGGCAGGAGTTCCCTATCGTGTTCCTTTGCCACTTTGGTTGTCCCTAAGCAGCTCTCCCAGCAGGAAGCCTGGCGCGCAGCAGCCGCCGGTGCAGATTCTCCTCTTCCCACTCAGTGGGGCCCCTGGCAAAGTGGCAAAGCTGGTGGCTGCAGCTGGCACTTGGCTTTGCTTACTTGCTGGTGATCAAACTGTTGTGCTTTAGTACCATGTGCCTGGACTGCTAAGAAGCAAGAGCTGTGGTCAGCCTGGGATTGTACCTGCAGCTGATGTCCAGAGAATAATTTTCTTTTTTTTAAATTATTTTTTAAAATACAGATGCTGACTATGCGAAGTACTATCACATGGGACACAAGCTGTTATACAGTACAGGACACAAACTTTGTCTCCCAGCTGAAACCCAGCACATGTGGCCATTTCCCATCTTACTGGGTGCAGCAAATGTAAAGTGCTGTCACATTTTCCTAGGTCTGTGTACAATCTGTCAAAATAATTCCTGAGGTCTAGCCTCAGTTCATGGTCCCGTTACATCTTATACGTATCTGTGTGAGGAATTTGAGCTGTGTGATATGAAATATTAACCTAGTAGGGTTGACTGCCAGATGTGACAGCTTGCACTGTCTGAGATTATAATCTGATCCTGTGTGCATAAGAAATATATATGTGATGGTTTATGTAGGTTTGGAAATGGAATCACTGAACATGTGGATTTATATGGATAGAGCTGGTTTTTTAATTTTTGAAGCTGCCTTGCTTGCATCGTTGTCTATTGGAAAAAATACGAGATAATTACTAGTGCTTTGCATTGTCCTAGCACTAGTAAAAGCATTATAAATGCTTTACATGACTTCTAATAAAGTGTGTTTGCTCACCAGCTATCTTGTGCTCTGGGGCACTCTGACCTTGCCAAAGAAGATGATGTGAGGTCTTCCCAGGGCACTCAGAGCAGTGGCTGGGTAAACATGCCGTTAAAACTTCATTTGGCTGAAGGTGCAGAGTTTGCAGTGGGGTTGCCCTTATTTGTATGCTGCCTGCGTAGGGAAATCGCTCTACAATACCCCACTCACACCTTTGTTCAGAGCATTGCTCCCTCTGCTACATGGGAGAGAGGCTGCTTTTAGGATGGGGAGCCTGATCCTGTTGCTAGACATGAACCTCTGCAGAAGTTGTTAGTGTAAACAGGCACTGGCTGTTGGCTGTTATTTCCCTCTGCTGCTGCTGCAGGGTACCTGTGTGACACAGACCTGCTGGGGTGGTCTGGAGTGGTGCTGCCCTGTCTGCCTGCTGACGTGCCTGAATCCTGCCAAGAGGGCTGGTTTACCTTTGCTCTGTGGACTCAGTGGCTCGGGAATCTCTGCCCCACAGTGTGTGGTGCAGCCCAGCCTGAAGATTCGTGGGGTCCATGTCAGATAACCCTGGTCTTGCCAGTTAAGATACATCAGAGAAATATTGATCTTGCTGTGGGTGGGTGGATAATGTATGTTTTATTGCCTGTGTTTGATATAGGGGTTGGAGCATGCCTGCCTCCCCCACTCCAACTGTGTATTTTGCTTTATGCAGTAGGCTAAAGACCAGGTTTTACTGCAACTAACTTACAAGCTGCTTTATTCTGAGATACTATATTTACTGTGATGGGCCTTTAGATTCATAGCCAGTAGCTTGAAGATTTAAAGCATGTATACCTTAAATATCTCTTATCTGGCACAGGTTAGAAGTGAATATAACTAACTTCTATTTGGCAGTAATGCATTTATGAATGACAGCCAAAGCTGTAGATGGAGAGGCAATTGGTAGAACTGAGCCCCTTTAAAATAAATGCCATGTTGGGCTCTTTGTTTCAGTTTTGCAGCTTGAGTTTTCAGTTGTCCAGGTACCTGCTGCCTGGCACACTGCGTTAATAAAGAAAGCAGCCCCCCAAAACATGAAAGCCTTAAGGCAGGGATGCATATACACCATAGAATTGGCAGTGTGGGCACTGGCTTGGTCTTAAACATCTCAGCTCCTTTGATTTTTGCCTTTCACTCAAAACCTTGGAAAGGGAAGGTTACCAAATGCGTGTTTACTCGAAGCACACAACCTGCTTAGCTGCAATTATCTCCTAATCTGGTCCTTCTGAGTTTCTGTGGTCTCGCAGGTAAATACAGATTTAGCCCTTATTCAAGGCATATTATTTACCTCATTAAGTGTGTGTTTTGGCACGTGCATTATTTACCTGACAGACTAACGGATGGGAGAGAGCAAATGCTGTCTTTTATGCAAACAGTGACTTTGTTCATGAGCGGTGAGTCCCCTTTTTGCTGTGCCTGTTTTGTCTCCATGCCTTGTGGCGGGCACTTGCAGCCCTTCACGGCAGAGCAAAAAGCCAGCACAGGTGTGGAGAGACCAGGCTCAGAAAAAGGGCATGTGGGTGGCATGTGGTGGCATGGAGTTCTTCCCAGAGCCACGAGCAGGGGGAGCAACTGCGGGGGGATAAATTTAAATATCTGTGTGGTGAGATGTGTGTGTATGTGTGTATGTATATATACACACACAGACATATATGCATACACAACATATCCTTGTTCAAGAGGGTTGAGTTGTTGCAATTAGCTTGTTTCGCTATCAGTCACTGTACCCGTCTATGTAACACCATGGGTTGGGCTTGAACTTCCTCCCTAGAGATCTATTAACAGCCCTGAGTCTGACCTGCCTTGGATAGTGACAGTCCTGGCAAGTTTTTCCTGCAAAGTTTTAAAAGAAAAAGAGTAGAAGGGGAAATACGGATAGCCTCGTATAGATAATGTAATTTATTAAATAGCATTTAAATAGAAATATCAAAAGGTGATGGCTGAGTGAGGTATTTTTCTGAGAGGGAGACTGTAACCTGTAGAGTCATGCTTGCATTTTACAGTTTTTGCAGTCCCTGGATGTGGTTAGTTGACCTGATATTTTCCTCTGAGAAATAAGGAAGAGATGGAGTGCAGAACTAAATTCACATCTCTGAGAAACCTCATACACAGAGCAAATCAGAACTTCCCCTGGGTAAGAGCATCCAGCTACCAGACACTTGGATTTGTAATAGAAGTGGGATGTTTTGGTGCAGCTGACAGGTGTTTCAGGACCAAGCTCTTTGGATGGGTTGTAGTGTTGATATGTGTATTGCTGTATTTAATTCCTACCGTGTATCAGACACTGCATTGTATATGAAAAGATGAAAGGCCTCCTCAGTAATTTCAATGGGACTTAGATTTTCTGTGTTTTAATTGTTTTTTGCTGTGTTCTGCCGTGATAAGGTTCAGTAGTCAGGTGTGATCTGGTTCCTGGAGCCATGACTGTTGTGTGTCTCATAGTTCTTAGTTTAGAGCCATTTGCAGAAGTTAATTTTCAGTTGCCTGTGATTCTGGACACCTTAAGCTCAGTCCAAATGTCATCTGTTGTGCTTAGAGCAGGTTACGGTGTTATTTCAGGTTTGCAATGCTGGAACCTCCACTGGGAAGCACAGAGGAAATCCCTGTCAGAGGAGGACAGTGAGCAGATACTAGGAGAGATGAGATGTATGTGTACATGAGTAATGTGAGTCTCTCTTCAGTTTCAGATGCCTCTGGATGTTCAATGATAGCATTCCTCCATACTGGAGCAGCAAAGTTTTCCCAAAACTTACTTTCAAGGGCAAGACAAGCTGTGTCCCCCCTCCTGGCTGGTGTTCTCAAAGGGTACAGCTCCATCGTAAGCAGGAAACTGGCGTCCCACGGCTTTGGAGCTTCCATGGCAGCAATGTCATCCTTCCCTCCACAGAGATATCACTACTTCTTAGTGCTGGATTTTGAGGCTACGTGTGATAAACCACAGATTCATCCTCAGGTAAATAGTCAATCCTGTTAATTATCCCCTTGCAAGTTGCTACTCGTGTTCTGAGAGGTAAAAGGAAAAAGCACAGTGCTGGCTCACTCATTTTTTCTGGTTTGTCCCACCTTCTGTTGCTGGTTCTCCAGGACTCTTGCCAGTCACCTGTTGTCTCAGGAGCAATACCAGGACTGTTTGGTGGGAATGAATGAAGGAGGCTGATTTCCATCAAGGAAGTCACAATTCATGTGTTATCGAAAACATCTTTAGGTCATGTCTAATTGTCATCTGTCTTAATTGGGGAGGGTCTAAAAATTTCTGGCTGGGAACTTGCATTAGAAGATGGCAGCCTTGTTTGATTCTGCAAGGAGACTGTTTGTAGTGAACAGCTTTAGGAAGAGAATATTTTGAATTATAGGAATATGTGCAACATAATGGTGTTTGTAGATAATTTCAGTGAGATCAGATATCTTGCCTGGGTGTTAACTCTGGAGTGTGATGAGACAGGAAGAGTTCACCTTCAGAGAGAGCTTCCAGTGCTCTACCACTTGAGACATACAGAGATCCAGATGAAGTACAGAGGTTTTTTTGCAGGCAGTTCTTCCACAGTAGTGTAGACCATATTAGTAAATATATTTTCAGTTGTCAGCAGGATGAGCCTAGGTTTTCCATTCAAATTGGAAAACTGTACTAAATAGAAAAAAACCCTAATATTGGGTTGGTAGTGAACAAACAGAATTTCTGAGTCTAAATTGAACTCGCCCCCCCTGCCAAGCAATTGTCCTGCATTTATTGTAGTGGGTTAGAATAAGTTCCTTTTGCTTTGTTTTAACTATGAAAGGCTTAAGCAGTTTTCAGTGTGGTGTCTCATTACTGAAGTGACTCGATGCAGTGTATTCATTTCCCACTGCAGCTGTGGTTTCCCTTGGGCTTGTCCTAGCTAAGGGATGCTGCAAGTTGGGATTGAAGTTGACTCCTCTCTTCCCCAGTAGAGCCTTGGTGAGTGCCGCCTGCCTCTTATGTTTCTTGAAAAATGGACATCAAATTCCCAGCTCTTTTGCTGGCTCTTTGTGGGAGGCTGTTGTGGCTCTGCATCCAGTTCTGGTAGCAGGGTCTTAACTGCTCTCCAAGTGAGATGTCAGGCTATTTCCTGCATGCTCCGCCTCGGGTGCACGGACCTGTCAAAGCTGTAAATTGGATCTACCTTGTCCCTTTGGATATGGGTTTGGTCTGTGCACATTTTGATGCAAAACCATGATGCATGTGGAGCTAGTTTACAGCTGGCAGTAAAAAGGAGCATGAGTGGAATATGATTACTACTGTTTTAAGGAGCTTTGTCCCCAAGTCCTTGCCAGGGAAAGTAATGGTCTGGGCCAATGCAGATCTGCTATATATTTTGTTGGTGAGATAGCACCTTTAAGGTAGAGATGTTCTTCAGTGGTTTTTTTTTTTCCAGTCTGCTGTGTTCAGTGCCTGTCTGCATCATATAATGTGTGGAAAGGGCTGTCAGTCCCTCACAGCCTCACCAGCAAATTAGTTTGACAAATAAAGAAATTACTTTTGCTACATGGGGCTCGGTGTAGCTGGAAAGGCTGAAAGTGCCTGTCAGTTGGGTAACTTTATAAAATGAGATGTTAGTTGATGCTCCTATCTACCTCTTACCTCTTTGCTGACCATCATGGCTTTTGTCCTCTTCACTGGTAGGCTGTATGTCATGGTGAACAAACTGTGCCATGTATTTCAGCGATGTTTTCTGCAAGGTTTTATTGGCAAGATCTTTCACTGGCATAGCGGCAGACAGGTTTTGGAGGTTTTGTCTGAGGACAGACCTGAGAGCTAGGAATGGTGAGGTGCTGATCTTCACTGTGATCCTGCTAATTTTTCTGCTTTTAATAACTGCAAAATAGAAGTCTAGATACAATGAAATTCAAATGCATTGGAATTTGATGAGGAAGCTGCATGTACAGAGTTAAGCTAAACTGTGATTCAGGTTACTTTAAGTGGGTAGGCATAGCTGTAAATTTAGCCAGCTCAGCCTAAAAGTCTTGCAGAGTGCACTTGCCACCATGCAGCACACTTCACATTTTTCACTAACTGCTCTTCTAAATATTCTGGCTTCTTACAAGAAACTACTGAAAGAGCTATCTTTTTATCTACACTAAGATGTGTGACTGCCACATCTGCTCCCCCTCCTGCTGTATTTACTCATGCTCTTCTGCAACTGGCAGCCTCACTGGCTTTATCCCTGGGGAAGTTCTTCATGCTCAGTGGTGAGCCCTGAAGACGCCTTCATTTCCATTCCCTTTCACACTGCCCAATCTCTCTAAGGTCTCGTGGTATGGCCTCTGTAATGGGGATCAAGGAGGGTCAAGGATGGTGGTATTCCCCTGGGAAGCTGTCTGCATTGTGGCTCCAGTGGCTGGGACTGCTGGCAGAGTGCCTTGTGGCCACTGCCCTCTGCTTCACCGCTCCTGGGTCAGGCATCGAGGGTCCTTCATGTTCCCTGCCCTACACCCACAAAGGAACGGGAGCATCCTTGCAGCCCTTGTGACAGCTTTCAGCAGATACACTCCTAAATCAAAGTGCAGGTTTATACACCTAGAAACCACTTGGCTGTGTTGGCTTTTGGCATGTATTTATGAATAATTGGACCACGCCAGAGAGAAGAGAAGTGGGGAGGGTGGGACTAACTGCACAGTCTTGTGTCATGTAGTGTTTTAGCCAGCCAGAGGTCATTAGAGGTTGGCAGTAAGAGATGTTTATGGCTGGCCCCTTGCATGTCTTTAAAGCTTACCTTGTGCCTTTGGAATGTGATCCAAAACCCAGTGGGGTCAGGTGGGAGCTGTCATTGTGCAGAGGTCAGTGGACCCTGAACCATGGTGGTGCTGGTGTGCTTCATTTTTCAGCTCTGAGTTTTCTTCTTTACTGTCTGCTAAGAGTTTATAAGTATCTTCTGCTTTTATACACTGTCAGCCCATAGAGCTGGGTACATATGATGCTTTAGCTTCATGAGAAGATGCATTAATAAGTGAGTGTCTTGCTCTTTTGTCCCTTTGTCCTTGTATACATCAGTGTTTATGGTGGTCAGTGCTTTCAGTGACTGTATTAAGCAGCTCCACAGGCTCAGATCCATGGCTGCCTGTAATCTTGTTTTATTAATGCAGTAAGAGGGTGTGACTCTTTCGGTCAGCAAGCCAAGTACCTTACCTTCAACTTCAGCAGAGTGGATAAAAAGCAGTGTTTTGGTTTTTTTTAATATAAAAAGTCTGAAGGTAGAAATCAGGTCTATTCAAAGATGATTTTGAAATTAGCCTTCTATATAGGATGTTAATCTCTACTATAATCTATTAAAGCCACTTAAATGAAAATCAAATAAAATACAAGCTTTGTATGTCTGCTGCCTGGAAGTGTAAAAGAGCATCAGACCCCTGACCTGGAGGAAGGAGCTGGATCCAGGAGTTGCTAAACTGCTAAATGAGCTTTTGGTAATGATGAAGTTGCTTTTTCTCATGTCAATTTTTTCAGGTGCTTGCATTCAGTGTCTCAGATTCACTCAAATTTGATAATCAGTTGGGAATCAGAAATTTGCCTTTCAAACTCTCTGTAAAAGGAAAATATGAAGTGTTCAGATCTTCTCATTGCCAAAGAAGGTTGTGACCAGAGGCAGAAGAACAAATTGTTTACAGACAGTACTTTCTGTGTTCTCTTAAATAGTGCATTTTAAATACAGAAGTATCTTGATATTTTTCTTTAGTTTATCCTACATATTTCAAATTTGTTCAGCTTGCATTTTGATTGTTATTTTGGGAGAATTTGTAATCATAATTGCTGTCAGATGAAACTGGACATACTAATAAATACAAAACATCACTCACCATTTCAACATAAAACTGTAAACACTGAGACTGTGACTAAGCATATGTTCAGTTACTAAGTTACTTTTAAGTGTACAAACAAATCTGGATGATCAGAGTACATTTCATGACTGGCAAAAGTGTATTAACAAATGGAAGCCAGTGTTTCTGTAAGATAATATTAAGTACAAATGCAGGAGAAGGTTAAAGCATGTTCAGTCTTTGTTTCCTTGAGCATTGCAGGGGTTTTCCCCTGAACATCCGTCCTGCGGTCCCAGCCCGCAGTCAGGGGCAGCTGGAGTGGCTGTGGTGATCGCTGCCTGTACTGCTCTACCTGTGGTCTTGTTCCCGTGGCAGGGACAACTGAATCCTGTGTCTCTGAGATACTGTGATTTATAGACTGACCTTGTAATGGGAATGGATGTTGATTTCCACCAAATTTAGGCCATAGCAACAGATGTGCAGTCCCTGCCGAGCGCTCTGTGCGGGGTGACTAGATAGATGATAGGGAAGCTGCCTTGGGAGCCGTATCCGAGGCTACTTTGTAGGAGGAATATGTCCCTGAAATCACAAACTTGCTGCAGGAGGAGGTGATGGAGAGACTGCTGGTCTGCTGGGAAGCAGGCTGCAAGGTACCTTCTGCGTGCCTTCCACGTGGTTTCCTGCAGAGCCTGCATCAAGTCAATCCTAGCTGAAGGCCGGGATGGGAACGCAGAAGGTGTCTTCCACAGTAACAGACGTGGTCACAATCCTACCCAGAGGCAGATAAAGGACATGTGCCTGTCTGTTCTATCTGGACATCCCCACATAGCAGCTTTCTTCTCATACCATTTTTGTGTGGCTGTTAAGCTCAATGCACTAGAAATCACCTGCCAAAACCTTTATTGAGGGTGATCATGAGTTGCTGAAAAGTGAAGAAATTCAGGCTTGTTTCCCATGGCAACTTTAACTCAGCCATAAGTATTACAGTGGAATATTAATCTGCAATTACCTATATTCATGCAGCTTAGGCTTGAGTGTAGTTTTAATTACCTAGTTCTTAATTCAGCTTCTTACAATGCTGTTTCTAGCAAAATGCCATTAAAATGCATGTAACACAGTGACTTAAAAGTCTTTTTTTCTTTTTACTTAAAGCAAATATATATATGTATTTTACCATCTCTT